ATAGCAATAGCAATAGCAATAAGACTTATATACCGCTTCATAGGGCTTTCAGCCCTCTCTAAGCGCTTTACAGAGTCAGCATATCGCCCCCACAGTCTGGGTCCTCATTTCACCTCAGAAGGATGGAAGGTTGAGTCAACCTTGAGCCAGTGAGATTAGAACCGCCGAACTGCAGTTAGCAGTCAGCTGAAGTGGCCTGCAGTGCTGCACCCTAACCACTGCGCCACCTCGGCTCTCAAATCCGAAGTTTGATTTTCTTTCCCAAATTCCCTGACCTTTTAAGTTCCGCTTTTATCCATCACGCAGCAGCCCTTTGCCTCTGTTCTTCCCCCCACCCACCCACCCGAAATTGGTTTGTTTGTTGAACATGCAAATAAATTACTTTCCCTGGGCTGAAATTTGAATTGACATTTTGGCTGGGGACAGACTTTCTTTTTTAATTATGTAGAAGGGCCGGAAAACTTTGGGTAACCTTGAGAAAACCGAGTGATGAAAAGTGAAGTTTCCTTTTCAGCAGGAATTAATTTTAATCAGTGGTACCTGCGTTAATACAGGAAGGAAATGCCGAATAGGGAACGGTTGCCCCAAACTGCCAAAATTAATTTCGGGGCATAAAATAATTCCCGCAGATGAAAGAAATTTAACACAGCAGTAGCTTGTTTTCACACGCGTAAATACGTGCACACACTCTTATCAGTGCTCAAGGTTGGAAATGTGTAGGAGATATTAAGAGTAATCAAGGCTAATTATTCTTCCGAGGAATCTTTGCAGCAACTGCTCTATAAACCATATTTGGGGAAAACCAAGCAATCCAAAATAGGGGAAGGGATAACAGTTTGTTCTTTTATTACTGCCCTATCCTTTTAACTCACAGCACAGATGTACTATTTGTTTGTTTCTGAAATTTATTTGCCGCTTATCTCACCCCTAGGGCTGCTCCAGGCAGCTTGCAAGAATAAAAAGGGAGGAAACCAAAGGAATGTAAATAGAACAGAAATGAAATAAAATAATAGAGCAATACATTAAAACAACGAAAGAGGAACCCATAGAGAATTAAGACTGTACATCGGTGGCTCTCCACCTGTGGGACACGATGGCATCACAGGAAGTCCACGAAGGCTTGGGAAAAAGTTATGATTTTAATCTTTGAATTAAGTCTTGGGAGTCCTGGCCACAAAAAGTATTTAGAGAAGGCTGTTAACTATTCATGTACATCTATGTGATCGCCAAAAAGATGGATGGATGGAAAGCAGAGACTGAGGGGTGGGGGAGGAGGAGGAGGAGGAAAGACCCTGAATCCAAATATAAGAATGGCAACATTAATAGCAATAGCATTTAGACTTATATACCGCTTCATAGGGCTTTCAGCCCTCTCTAAGCGGAGAGTCAGCACATTGCCCCCAACAACAATCCGGGTCCTCATTTCACCCACCTCGGAAGGATGGAAGGCTGAGTCAACCTTTGAGCCAGTGAGATTTGAACCGCCGAACTGCAGAACTGCAGTCAGCTGAAGTGGCCTGCAGTGCTGCATTTAACCACTGCGCCACCTCGGCTCGGAATTGGTCACGGTTGTCCCAAAGATGCTTTTTGAAAAGGCAACTGGACTTTCTTGGAGAGGCAGAAGCTGAAGAAGCTTCTTGGATGAGAAACGAAATGTCTTCAAGGGAAAACAAATGAGAAAAAGCACCTCTGGGAGAGCCGTCAGCTGGAAGGCTGAGAATCTCCACAGACATTCAGACTGTGAGGATGAAAGTTTATTCTCTGAGCTTGTGAGTTGGTTTCCGAACGTTTTACCACCAGGCAAAGGAACATCTTCAGCCGAGCCCCCTAAACGCCACTGAAGATGTTACCTAGTTCGGTAATGAAACGTTTGGAAACCAAACCACAAGCCCTCGCCCGCCACCCGAGCTACAGATATCCGCCACTTTTGCAAGCGGTTAGGTTGGGATGATTCGGGTCTGGTCTTGCCCCAGAAGCCAGCGTGAAAGCGAGCATGTGCAGAGTGCGCGCTTAAGAGAAAGGAGCCACTTTGGAGAAGGAGAAGCAAGCTCCCTCCTCCTCTCCAACGTCTCCCCTTCAAAGCAATCAGCTCTTTTCATCCAGGCATGAAATCTCTCTCTTTCTTTTCTTTCTTTTTTTTTATTTGGTTTTTGAGAAGCTCGGAAATTGCCTTTTCTCTTTTGTAGTCTTCGCATGCTTTATTTTTGTGTGAATATTTATGATTGTTAAATGCTCACTTCACTTCCAGTCCATTTCTGGGGTTTTTGTTTTTTTGTTTAAAAAAGAAAAGAGAAACGTACAACCCAGGAAAATCCACTGGGAATGATAAAAAAAGGGCCAAGATTTATTTATTTACCAAATGTGAATGGGTCCCTCTCTCACGGGAAATGACTCCGGGTGGTCTTTGGTGGTGGTGGGAGGGGGGTGGAGGATCGAAACTCAGCACATGCAATGAACATAAGAACCAGATTAGGGCTTTNTAGATTAGGCCTCCTCCGAATTCCATCATTTAGCCAGTGTAGACTGGCAACTACTCGGAGGAGAGCCTTCTCGGTGGCTGCTCCAACCCTCTGGAACGAACTCCCCGTGGAGATTCGGACCCTCACCACCCTCCAGTCCTTCCGCGCCGCTTTAAAGATCTGGCTGTCCCGGCTGGCCTGGGGTTAAGATTCTAACCCCACTCGAATTGTGTGACTGTTGTGTTTTTTTTAAAAATATGTTGTATTGCTTTTATGTTGGAAATTGTTTGTCCTCCCCCCCCCCCTTTTTGAACTGTGAGCCGCCCTGAGTCCCCCCAGGGAAAAGGGAGGCATACAAATAAAGGGAAATGAAATGAAATGAAATGAAGACAGGGTTTGTAAACTCAACATCACAAATCATACTAAAGTCTATTAAGCTAACCAAGAACATGAAATAACAATAAAAAAATGTGTTAATGAATATTTTTGCAAACTTCTAAACTAAAATTTAACAATATCAAACTGAATCGAAACAGGTCAATCCTACCTGAAAAATGAAGCTTTCGTTGAAAACAGGGCTGAGTGTCTTACGATGGACCTTTGTTTCATACTTCTTCCTTATGTCAGATGTCAGGAAGACAATCACGTAGGGATCAGAGGTACCTCCACTGTCCATGGCCTTTAGATCTGCTGCCTGCTTCACGCTAACCTTTAACTTAGAAAATCAATTCAAAAATATGAAAATCTTGAAATGGATGTGTATTAAGTTTGCAAATCTGTAGAAATGGGCTAGAATCCGACTAGACAAGCAAACCAAAATAGAAAAGTAATGTTCTTAAAAGTTGTGACCTTAGGGTCTCTGAATGAAATTTGACTCTAGTTGGATTGGATTGGATTGACTCCAGTTGGATTGTTCTGCTGTATTGGTCTCCCTACTGCACAAAAACATCCTTTAATAAACTTCTAGATTCTGTCACTGGGTTTGAGAAACTTTAATTTGCCTAGATGGCATTAAGTCATGAAATTGACTTAAGTCATTGAAGGTCCAAAACATGCTTGGCTACATGTTAGATCTTTTTTTTTTTTGTCCCAGACAATTGTGACAGGATCTTAGTAGAAGACTTTACCCTCAGTCCTTTACTATGATCTGATCATTCTCTGATTGTTTGCTAGTGTTGCCCAAACATCATGGAGTACTTGGAGAAGTCATTTCTAATGATCTAAGCCTCAGAGCTCATTGCAATAGAATTGCCAAAAAGACATTAAGAGTTGTTAATCTAATCTTGTGAAGCTTCTTGTTCGGTAATATTGTATTGCAAACTAGATCGTATAAAACCTTTGCTAGATCTATTCTTGAATACAAATCATCAGTCTGGAACCTGCACTGCATATCAGACATTAATACAATTGTGCGAATCCAGAGATATTTCACGAGAAGAGTACTACACTCCTCTGCTCACAACAGAATACCTTATACCACCAGGCTTGAAAGTTTGGGCTTAGACAACTTAGAACTATGCCACCTTTGATCTGACCTGAGTGTAATATACGAAATTATCTGCTACAATGGCCTACCAGTCAATGACTATTTCTGTTTCAACTGCAACAATACAGGAACTCACAATAGATACAAACTTAACGTAAACCGCTCCAAACCCAATTGCGGAAAATACAACTTCAGCAACAGAGCGGCCAATGCCTGGAATTCACTACCTGACTCTGTGGTTTCATCCCCAAACCCCCATAACTTTAACCTTAAATTGTCTATGATTGACCTCACCCCATTCCTAAGCGGTCTGTAAGGGACGTGCACTAGCACACCAACGTGCCTACCATCCCTGTCCTACTGTCCCCACTTATTCATATCCATTTCCTGTATTCATAATCATGTTTATACTTATATCTGTTATCTTATACATGCTTGACAAAATTAAATAAAGAAAAAGAAGGAAGGAAGGAAGGAAGGAAGGAAGGAAGGAAGGAAAGAAAGAAAGAAA